AGTTTAAAATAAAGGATTCTCACTATACCTTCCGTTTCTATTCCATATCCATTCCATATCCGTTCCGTATTTTTATTGTATTCTATTTAAGCTTCCGTTCCGTATCAGTTCCATACTTTTTATTGTACAATTTAAATCATTACGAAAGTTTTATTTAAAAATTTGTATCTTTTGAAAAAGATAATAGATTTAATTAAGAGGTGAAAGAATAAATAAATATCAGCAAAATTTTAACAGAGCTGGTACAAATGTAAGAACTTGACAACGCTGTTTCCGATACGCTTCAATCCGTCCGCCAAAAAATGTAGGGAAGGAAAGGATATGGAACGGAAGGGAAACGGAACGGATAGTGTGCATTGTCATATTCATTTACATGATATAATATTTTATGTGAACGGAAGGGAAACGAAAGGGAGCTGATATTGAAGGTATAGTTAGAATCAACCTTTATACTGATCTTATTACTGCATATACAGGGTGTTTTGAAAAAATGTGCCATCACTCGTGGGGAGATTCCTCAACTAAAAATTAGATTAATTTTTCATATCAACATAGTTCTGATTCTGCTTTGTTTCGTAGCTACAGGGTGTTAAAGTCTTAATAATTTTTCGATTTATGGGGGGGGGAGGACAAGCAATTTTCCCAACTTCCATCTTTTTTTTAGAGACCATAATACATGTAATAATGTAAAAACCCTTGTTTTAAAAAAATTGTTTTATTAATTTAAAATTTAAATTTAACATTATTGAACAATATAACATGCATAAATAATTATTGTTATGACAACTCTAAAATTAAAATAAAATCGTACCATCCTTAATATTTTATTTAACAACTAGCGTGTACTTCTGACTTCGTTCGCGTCGAATTAATCATTTGTAATGATGATGATAAAGCAAAGCAAGAATTTCCATTAACATACAAACTGGATAAAATTTTCTCACATTTATGTCAGCATGAGAAAAAACAATATGGCGATATTATTATATAACTTGGTAATATTTGAGGGGTAGTTTCATCTCGTTGGAATTTGACTTTCGAAAAATCCGTTTGCCAAAAATAAGCTTTTTACGTCAACCAGTTTAAGCAGAATCGTGGTTAAGAAATTACCCAACTTTTTGGAACACCCTGTATGATTTTTTGAAAAAAAATTAAAATATGTAAAAAAAATAAATAAATTATGCTTATCCAAGCGTTTTCCCGAAAGACTAACCGTTTTTTAAATAACAAATATTGTAATATTTGAGGGGCGTTTTCACCCTCTTGGAATTTGAGATTCGAGAAACCCCTCCTTATTGAACCTCTCCCATCCCCTACAGTCAATCCGTTTGCCAAAAACTAGCTTTAAACTTCAAGCAGTTTAAGCAGAATCGTGATTACTCAATGGTTATATTATTATATTATAAAAATCCTAAAATATGTAAAACAACAAAATAAAATATACGTGTTTAAAAGTTTTTCCGAAAAACTCACCGGTTTTTAAATAAAAAATATTTTAATATTTGAGGGATACCGTTTCACCCCCTTAGAATTCGAGTTTCGAAAAATCCCTTCTTATCGAACCTCTACACCCCAAAAGTCAATCTGTTTTCCAAAAATCAGCTTTTTACGTCAAGCGCTTTAAGCAGGATCGTGATTAATCAATTACCAGATTTTTCGAAACACCCTGTATTAATTTTTAAAAAATCTTAAAATATGTAAAAAAACAAAATAAAATATACGTGTTTAAGCTTTTTTCGGAAACTTGACCGTTTTTTAAATAAAAAAATATTGTAATATTTGAGGGGTGGTTTCACCCTCTTGGAACTGGAATTTCGAAAAATCCCTTCTTATCGAACCTCTACACCCTAGAATCAACCTGTATGCCAAAATTGAGCTTCTTACGTTGAGTGGTTTGAGCAGGATCGTGATTAATCAGTATGTCAGTCACTTATTAAGGATTTTATACATATATTAGTATAGACTAGTCGTCTGGTCTTCAAAGTGACCCAAGTTGTTATTATTTTTGGTAAATCTAAGTTGATGGCAATATCTGCTTCACATTAGTACAGCGGCAATTTTTTTTTTATTTTTGACAAATTTGGGATTTAGACGTCGCGCGTCGCGTTGTCATGACTAATTTCCCAACTCAATTATACATTGGGGGGGAAGCATCCCCCCCCATCATCCCCTATAGCTTCACCACTGATGATTTGAATTGAAAAAATCGACTTAATTTTGAGTCATCATTAAAAAAATTGAAACGAAACAAAAATCCATAACCAGGGTTAGAGCTTGGTGATCGCAGCTTTAGAAACAGTTGTTTTATTTTAAATTAATTTTGAATCAAATTATTTATTAATTTTTAATTTACTACTTTTTCAACATTTCAAAGGACACTTTTTCAAACGTTTCCTTCAAGTCCTTTAATTGAATAGCTGTCAGTAAGGAGTTTCACTTCAAATATACACACGTAGTGCACACACATTTTATTTATAATAAAAATGCAAATTTCAAGAATTTATTTCTTCAAAAAATTGGTCATTGACTAATAGTTATTTTTTATACAAGACGATAAAATGGTATTTTATCGTCAACCGAAAACATTGACTCACGAGATGAAATCGCGAGTGAATTAATGTTTGGAAAATTAATTCTTAAAAAATATCCAAAAATTATTATTTCAAGGAATTATTATTTACTACGAGTAGACAAAATATTGTGCTGGGTTGGGACTGGTTTCTATATAATTTGACAAATAAATAAAGCTGTCTCTTTAGTTGTCAGTTTTGAGTCAATATTTTTTAATTCTCTCTCGTGACGATTGCTGATTGAATTGGAGCCAGAAGTGGCTCAAAACGAAATAAGTAAATTACCAACAGATATTCAGGCTGAGGCGACACACTCCATATCCAAACTACTTTCATTTAAATCCCGAATAACTTATAAAAATGAATACAAAAATTTTCAAAATTGGAAGCAATTAAAAAACGTGCTTGAAGAAACAAGTTTTTATCCTATCCTCGCTGTTAAAGTATCATTTAATCTACCCTTGCGGTTAAAGTACAGTTTTATCTACTATTTTTGATAGATATAAGGCAATTTTAACAGTTGTTGCTATGGTAAAAATAAAAAAAACCGTACATCTATTGCATTTTGACTCACTGCATCATCTACAACAGTCAATGGTACCATATAGTTAAGTAATTTATTTACTAAACAACAAAATGCAAATTAGCAGGAATCATCAACAAACGTTGGTCATTGACCAAACAAAAATATCTCTTGCGTCGATTCGGCTGGTCGTACCGTCTGCAGACGGTGGTTCTACGGTACGGCGTAAACTTGACCATGAAAGAGCCACTTCCGTGGGTCGACCCAGCGTTGGGCCTGGGGCCATGGGTGCGACGGAGACAGAGCACGATGGTAACCTGGGGCCATGGGTCGAGAGGGGACGGAGTACTGTAGTCAGTGGCGTAGCACAGGACTGGAATTTATTGTACTTAAGGTGTTCGTGGTTGATGTTTTGAAGCTATTTCCAAAAATGTTCTGTATAACTTTAGTTGCAGCGTAATTATAAGGTTGTGTCTTTATTTTCTACAGATTCCTTGTGTTTCTGCACGTATTTATGTGATTTTTCTCGACTTAAGGGTAATTATTTACTAGGAATACAGTTTTCTGGTATTTTGAATATTTGTAAGAAACTATTTTAAATAAGTAGGTATGTATTATTTTTTTTATTTTATAGTTCTATTTATAATAGTTTTTAATATTTTATCAACAAAAACGAAGTTTTTTGATTTATACTACAATGCCTTGTAGAAATATTGGATTTTCTATAAAAGAGCCGATTATGGTAAATTAATTTTCTTCACTTCCAAAGACAGCTTTCTGCTTAATAGGTTTTTCATATAATATACTATCAGCTCTGCGAAATAGGAAAAGTAATTTTTCAAAGGAACGCTTATCAAGAAGATTCCTATTTGGATATCTTTGAGCATAAACCCTTCAGGCCAAGAAGCAACTTTCATCACAAAAATCACTAGTAACATATTCATTCCTTCCGCCAGCAGAGACTGTTTAATTTTTCTTGATAAAGTAATACATATTTACTTATTAAACTATTGCAGGTAAATTAAATAAAAATAAACTGTTATAAATTTAAATAAAGTCCATAAACTAATTTCGATTTTGAAAATATCTGGTAACTGTCACTAGAAAATTGTCATGGTGACACCAGTCATCTTGATAGACATTTTATTGAAAAATCATTTTTTATTCAAAATTTGAGCTGAATAGGCGTAAGAAACACTAATATAGTTTGAAAGGGCATTCAAATCTGCTTCGATTTATTTAAAAAATAAAGAGTATTGTATTTGAAATAACAAAGTTTTTATGTAAAATAAGTATATAAAACAGATCTGCAATTTTTTCGTATAATCAACCGACGAGAATGAGGAGCGCCACATTGCATATTATGAATTTTCTTCATTGCTTGTGTAATAATAATTGTGGTTTGTGTTTTCGATTCAGCTTTGTCCTGGGTAAATCCGAAAAAAAATATTACACATTACACACAGTTTTCTCCCTCAAAAAAACAGAGTTCAATATTCATTTGCCTATAAGACAGTTCAACATCAAAAAAACTAATTAACAAAAGTATCTCCAAACTCCTCTTCTAGGACAAACCTAATTAATACAAAGAAGACGTTTCATCAACAACACATTGTCCGAATATCTTAATTCCCATTAAGTTCTTACAACCCTCTCTGTTGATTCTAACAATAAAATTAAGACCCATCCACCCCTCTCAATGCAACCCTTTTGTTTTCAGCCTCACTGCTCCAGTTGATTGATTCAAAAACCTCGCAAAATCCCGATACATCCTCTTTAAGAAACGAAATTGGTACGAAAACATAAATCCATCATGGTACGCCAATGATTCAACACCCATGAAACGTTTATTCTACCTTATACCAGTCTACCTTTACTACCTATGCTGGTATTTATACACATTCAACATTATCAACGAAAATAATTGAGTATTTGAAGAATATTTCTGGTTTTTGCTGGATTATTTGAACATTTTGGTGAAGCCCGATAAAAAACGGTATTGTTTACATGGAAAACAGGTGAAAAATTTGGTCTGTAACTTCGTTATTCCTCGAGGAGAGTTTGTGTAGTTTCCCGAGCGTGCGCTAGAGGCAGGACGGTCGTTTGTAACGGTCGCCGCAGCGTTTCTGTTGAATTTTTGCCGCGCATTCTACGACCGCTCGCTGTTACGTAGAGGTCTTTGAAAGATCGGCCGGTGGAAACCCGCTTTTCGCGAAGTTTTCCGCAGATTTTCCGTTGAAAAGAAAAACTCTTGAAGGAAACTTGACGTTAGTGCACGCGCAAACTTGATTCTCAGCGCGTGTTTTGTTAGTGTCATCATCACCAAATGATTTGAATTGGATTATTTTTGTTTTTCTTGGATTGAGTGTGTTTATATTGTGTGTTTACCAGGATTGTGTGAGACCATGACATAAAGGATTAACCTGATGAGGATTTTTAAGTGAATTTAGTGAGTTTTGTTTGGATTTGAACGACGAAAAAATACTTCGAGTGAAAAAAAACTGGTTTCAGCGGAAGGAGTATGGAGCGAAGAATGGATTTTGAACTGCGGTGGTTTCTGGTCTCCATATTTTTATCAGGTAGGTTTAAAAAGATTTTTAAAATAATAATCAAGAAACGCTGATGTTTGTTATTATGCGTGAGAGACTAAATAAACATTACATGCAGTTAGCGCTTGTGAATGAAAGAGCGTTAATGGTGAGCGGCAGTTGGAAAAAAGGTGTTTAATTGTGCTAATTTTATTGATAATGATATTTAATTTAAAACATGTAATAGTGAAATGGTTTTTTTTATTGAAATCTATATCGATACTAATTAATAATATATGTTGGGGTAATATGGTTTATGATTTTTTGTAATAAAATATATTGCTTGATTCAAAAATATTTCTTTACTGTGATAAATACCTTCATTATGTAGTTAGGTACTTGCTCGTTATACAGGGTGCTACAAATTCGAGGTACGAACATTAGTAACTCGGTAACCGTAATAGATACGAACATGGTTAAATTGGAGCAAAGTTGCGCTTTGGGATGTTCACCAAGATGCCATCAAAAAAGTTTTAAAAATTTCAAGGATTGCTGAGTTTTTTGGAAAAAAACGGATATTTTTGAAAATTAATTTTATTTTTTCCTGTCGATACTTTTTAGAAAATCAAAAAACTAATTGCACATTCTCATAGCCACTTTATTAGGGCTATCTGATAGTATTTTTAGATTTTCAAATCGGCTGAGAATTTCTGAGATACAGAGGCCAACTTAATTTTTTTAAATAAAAACTTGCATTTTCTATTTCAGATTTTGAAAGAACTCGGTCTCCTGAGTACAATGATATGCCACACTTAATATTTTTTTTGTTTTGGAAATTTGGATACAATATTTAAACTAATTTCAAGCTCGGCTCTGCTTTTTTTTAATATATACAGAAACAGAGTCGACTTGAAATTTTATTAAATTATAATTAAATAATTTTGTTGCCGTTAAGGTACCCAAAACAAAAAAAGTATAAAGTGTGGCATATCGTTGTACTCAGGAGACCGAGTTCTTTCAAAACCTGAAATAAAAAATGCAGGTCCGTATTTAAAAAAATTAAATTGTCCTCTGTTTCTCACAAATTATCAGCTAATCTGAAAATCTAAAAATACTATCAGATAGCCCTAATAAAGTGGCTATGAGAATGTGTAATTAGTTTTTTGATTTTCTAAAAAGTAACGACAGGAAAAAATAAAATTAGTTTTCAGAAAAATCCGTTTTTTTTCCAAAAAACTCAGCAATCCTTGAATTTTTAAAAACTTTTTTACACAAACCAGTTTATAATATATTTAATATATTATGACTAATTTGTTCATATCCAGAAAAAAAATTCCAGTTTCCGAAACTTAGCAACAAAAATATATCCGGAACACAAAATGTAAATTTTTGTAAAGTGCATATTTAGGATTAAAACATATATGTCAAAATAAGCAAAATTTATCGAAAAAATTGTAAAAGGGAACTTTTGGTGGTACAACAGCAAAATCAAACACTAACCCACAACAATACACCAAAACACTTCATTTTTGCACTAAACGCGCGTTTCGATAACCATGTTAGCATCATCAGGAGATGATTAAAAGCTATAGTTAAAGTTTTTAATCATCACATTAATCAATAAAAATATTGAGCTATAAATCAATCTTATCTTATAATAGGAGATAATAAAAGAAGTCGCTGGTTACACAGGAAGGAACCTTAGGTATATAGTTTTTTTTTTAGTTTAGTATATCTCTTTTGGCTGTTGAAAGAAAATATGTTGGTTGAAACAAAATCTTAAAACATTGCTGCACTTACTATTAATATAATGTCAATTTTTAGACTTGAGGATGAAGAAGGTTTAAATTGATAAAATAAGCCTAATGACTTTTTGCATAAAACAGGCATTTTGAGCTAGTAGTGTATTTTGAGCTTTGAAGTGTAGTCTATTAAGGCGTGCTTCCATTGGCGAAGTTTAGCGGTGCTATTATACAGAGTAAGTGTTAAATAAGTACAAATATATTTAGGGATAGTAAAGTTCGACCCCAGAAACACGATTATGAGGTTTCTTTTTGCGAGATCTACCAGCCCCGAAAATATTTGCACTTATTAAGACTCATCATATTTGGGCCTTAATATCTAAAAAACATTAATAATCGTATTAATGAAATAATTAAAAAATAAATTTTAGGAATTTTATACTTAAAAGAACTTAAAAGAATCTTAAGAGATTTATTAATTTTAGAAATATTGCTTCACGACATTATTTATTGATACAAAATAAATAAACGATAAAAATATTTTAATTCTGAATAATTCAATCACAATTCTGCACTATTACATTTTATCCAGGTATGAATGAAGGCTTTGTATTCATACCTACATGCATTTAAAATGTTTATTTTTATTTACAATACAAACCGAGCAATTACATGCACTATTGATTTAAAACACAGGAAAAGTGCTTATGCTCGGCCGCTTGTATAAACGCTATGTAGATATTATATGCAATTATTATGCAGTTAGTTTTTACTTAGAGTATACCGCAATACCTCAGATAAATAAATCATTAAATATGGATGAATATCAAAAATTTAATCAAGCTTTTTATTGCGTAGTCAGAATTGATTTCAAATTCAATAGAAAAAATTTGAGGTTATATCATTAATTTTTCTAGAGTTATGGACTGTTCAACCAACGTTCACTGTTACGTCATGATTATTTGTTAAATATGAGTTTTAGGGTGTGTCTGAGATCAGTTCATATTGTTTAGAAAATTTTAAGTACGTTCCTTATTATTGATTGGGGGAGTTCCGTTTTTTTTCGGCATTTATTCATTTTTTCTTAAACTCTTTATCAGTTACGATCCCTTTAATTCCAATCCTTTGGACGTTGAAATTCCTGTTTCTAAAACCATCAACAACTCTTGTATTTTACATAAGAATATTACACCTTTGCGTTGTACTGACTTCATACACAGCGTCCACGGGCAAGTGTTTTCTTCCACCATCTCTTTCTCGAGAAAAATAGTTTATAAGCTTAGAATTTGAATTTTTTTTACAGCAGCCTTTGAATAAGAAGACTAAGGAAGGAGCATAATGTATTCATGCATGGTGGGCGGAAAAAGGACTCTAGGGTGGGGATCCTTGACAGTTCTGTTTGACGATTCATTTGACACATTTGAATTTGATTTGAAATTTTGTGGACTTGTCAGTCTTTATGGAGCTTATTTTATGTTATTTATTATTTATTCTACTACTGATAGTTGTATAAAGGTAGTAAATCTAGATGGAAATTGTGGCAGAACTTAAATTAACAGTGACACTATCGCGATTTATCGAAAAAGACTCTAAAATAGTTGGTTGTGTAGCGTGCGGTAGATCTCGGCAAAAATTAATAAGAGTGAAATAATTAAATAAATTAAATAAGTGAAATAATGGAACAACTTTTCGCTAGTAAGTGACTATAAAATATACATACATGTAGTAAACCGATCATTTATGAAATTCACTTAAATTAACTAATTATATATTTTTTCTTGCATTTTTGCTTTTATTTACTACTTGTCAAAGATTAGATGTCAAAGAATTTAGATACGTCAATTTGACTTACCTGCTTCAGTAGCGTATCGGATGTTTACGGTTATAAATAATTATTATAACTTATCTATTTTTATTAGAATTTTATATTTTTATAACAATTTTAATAACTACCAACATTCATTCACAACGTAAAGTAAAAAAAAATTATTGAGTTTACCCCACGTCTACCCTACATCATAGTTTTACATTTTTTAAATAAAATAGAACGGCACTGATAAACCGGAATTTAAGTCGGCCATATTTGAGGCCCATCGCGGTGGATCTAAGATTTTTGATATGCTCCTTCCTTAGTCTTCTTATTCAAAGACAGCAACAATCAAATTTTAATTTTGACATTTATCGATGCCCGTCAATAAAATTACAACCCCAAATCTAATGACAATGACAGTCACTAAAGTGAATATATGCAGTAATTTACGAAATGCCGTAATGACGTCACCAATGTCTTTCATCTGGTTGGCAAGTTATTGAGAAAGTTCGACAATATATGACGTCACGTTGAACGATGGCTGAACATTCTATATGTATATGTACTAGCGGTACTTTATTTGAAATAATATTGATAAAATTATTAAAAAATTAAAAAAATCTTGGGATTTATCGAAGAGTAAAATCAGCTGAAGCTTCTGAATTAAAATTTAACAGAAAAAATCTAAATTTATATCAATAAAATCGTTTTTTATTTCCATAGTTGTATATTTTATCAAATTATAATTAACTAGCGATATAATTTGTATAAAATATCGCAGTGACAATTGCAATTAAAATTGCAAAAAATCTTAGTATTTATTGGAGAGTAAAATCAGCTAAATGCTTTTTGGACCGTATTGTCATTAAGCTAATTTAAATTTATACAATTTAAATAATAATTGCATTTTTTTCTGAAATTAATTGGAATTGCTAACGGGCTTCAACGGTGCATACTGTTATTGTAAGAAACAATAACAATAAGCAACTAAAGCATAATTTTGAAATGATTTAAATATAATGGATCTAGAAGTACGGTACATGAGCTTAGACTTAATGTTTCTTAGAATGGAATATTCATACTTTTACTTTTTGCAGAAAATTTAATATTACATCACTTTTAATTAAATTTTCCACGTTATTTGTAAGTCTTTGACTTGTAAAATGTAGATAATAATCACCGCGACCTTTCAGATCTATTGTGTGTCCCCCTTTCTTGAGTTTTAGTGAGTTATAACTCATCAGACAGTCTCAGGGCTTTGACAAAAGCCAGTATCTGGGACGGTTTCACAGAAGTTAGTACTCCATCCAAGTTTTAACTTCGTGGCACGAATCGTTGTCGTCTCGGCGCACTCAGTGATGAGATGTTCTGGTGTTTCCCCATTTTCCCTACAGAATCTTCATTCGCCATTGTTTCTTAGTTTCAAACTACTGAGGTGTTCGTTGAGGAGACAGTATCCTGTTAAAAATCCCGTGACAATCCGAAGATTGTTCTTAATT